CTCAGAATGCAAAGAAAAATAGCTGAAAGTAAAAGAAATCAATATAAACAGTATTTCGCTTTGTGTCCAAAATGGACAAAATTAATACTCCAAATGTAGGCCAAGGCTTAAAGTAGCAACAACGCTACACATGTAAGTAAAAATATTTAAGTATCTGAACAAATAATTCTAGTCTATTCCCAAATTTGATTGTCCTGACTAATCACCTGTTAGGCCTAATTAATTTTAGAATGCTTTAAAGTGTTGCAATTGTGATGTATTTTAGTGTGTGATATGGTGAGGCTGTTGACGAACTGTGATTGTTTTTTAAATTAATGAAAATTTTTTTTTAACTATCTGTTATTTTAGAAAAACTGATGATGGTGAAAAAATACACCGAAACGTATTTTAATTGATAAATAGAGACAATAAATGACTGAAACCCAGGAATTAATTTTGATTTGGAATTGAAACACAGTCAGAAAAGTATGTACAAATTCCACTAATGTATGCAAACTTGGTTTTCAGGGAACAGCAACTGTTCGGAGTCTTCGAGTCCATCATCTCGACCCTCGAATCGAAGCTGCAACGAATCGAGAACCTGGACAAGGCGGTCGAGCAACTTATGCGAAGAGTTGAGGGTCTGGACTCGCGCGTCAACAATAACATCGACAAAACCGAGTCAGTGATCAGCAAGTTGCGCAACATTGACTCTAAGCTCTTTCAGAGCCTCAATCGGGGCCCCTTCGACTCAACTGAAGTCGAATCGGCGGTCCTGGCCAAAAAGCTGGCCTCGTTGGACCAAAAAGTCAGCGACATCGACTCGAAGTTGAACGTTCTGAAGAACCAGCTGGACAGCAACTATCTGCAGAATGAGGACATCAATGTGGAGGCGAGCGAAAAGCGGTCGATTAGTATGACCGTGCCGGAGATCTCAAAGGCCCTGAATACCGAGGTGCTGAACCACGTGACAAAAGAGCTGGGTCAGCTACGGGACGCCACTAACTCGATCGACAAAAAGCTGCAGTACCACATTAGCTATGCAACGGAGAACCTGGACAAAGTGATTTCCATGGTAGCCGAGGTGCATCGGGCGATCGTGGACGACACGAAGCAACAGAACGGAACCTCCAATGGCAGTACCACCACCAGCAAGCCGGAGGTCGGTCGCACCAGCAAGCTGGAAAACTTGGTGCAGCAGATGAAACCTATCATGTCGGTGTCAGAGAAGATGGACGAGGTAGCATGAGGTAGCAAATCAGGAAAGCCCTTCCTAAATGGACCATTTTAGGTGTGGAACGTGGTGGTAGGCACAAAAAGTTCGGTGGACGACCTTTTGCCCAAGTCGGACGAGCTGCTGACCCAAACGCAGCGCCAGGAACGCGCCATCGGGGAGATCCACAACGACTTGCGGTCCAAAACAAACAAAATCATTGCTAACTTGGACAAAGTGGAAATGCGCCTGAAGAAGCAGGAAGACGACGTGGCTAATCTGGCTCAACGACCAGTACCTGCTGACATTCTCCTATCGGAACCCAGTTTGGATATTCCTGGTACTTCAACGCGCCTAAAGCCTGTGTTCCATGCATCCTTTTATCAAGGGCGGATCCAGGGGGGGGTCATGGGGGTCATGACCCCTCCATTCAATTCTCTATCCAA